GTGAAGCAATTTTTAAAGTTAAAACCGGGCATCGCCATTTGCGAACCTTACGATTTTAAGTCCCTCTAGTAACCCAATGACCAGGTCGGATCGACCGCCTTTGTAGATTTACATTAAATATTTTAATCTTTATTATACAATGATATGGGCCACGAGTAATTATATTCAACTTTTTCAAGCGTCTGAGTCTTTATATAGAATACAAATAATTAAGGGTGTGTTTTCCTATACACCGAAACGAAACGTGTGAAAGAAGAATGTCTTGTTCCTGGCGGGATATTTTAATTGATTTTCTTCTCTAGTAAATCGGTTTTCCTTTTACAATGGGATTTGTAATTTCCCCCCGAGAAATTACAGGAGTTAAATGGTTTAGATTTGGGAAATGCCCAATATTCCTTCAAATATATTTAACCTTTGTTTTGTATGGTGATCAATCCAAGGTTTTATTTACGTTAGCATCGCACCGAAATGTACACGAGATTAACGTAACTTTAAAACACATACATATGCACGAAATATTAAAACTTGTCACACGTATGGGGTTTAAAAACGACTGCATATGAATCAGAGTTAAAAGAATACGAGTTTAATAAAAATAAAGTTCAGAACAATTGAAAAGTTCTACGGTCAAACCAGCGTTCGTTGTATTGGTGTATTAAACACTTATTTTTTAAGCAGCGGTCATTATGGTTTAAAGGCCGATTGAAATGTACACGGATTGATTTCAGTAATCGTCTTGAGAGACTTTTATACTTGACCCTGCATCTTGTTCTAGAACTTCAACATGCCACCAAAAGGATAAAGATGGAAAACAAGTATTTCCCAAGGAAAGATGAAACCGTGTGAATTGACTTTAATTTATATCGATGGATTTGATTTTTGATTTGTGTATTGAGTGTGAAACAATAGACAAGGTCTCTTTGACAAAGAGGAATTGTGTTTCTATCACTTCGTAGTTAAAATTCCATTGTTAGTCCCTGTATGAGAGACGATTTTTATCTCCGATATGAACGAGATGCTCTTTAAATTATGGCCCGCCAGTCCCTTGACAGACGGGTGTTAGGAAGGAGAGAGAGACCTCTAGCTCTTGTTCGGTAAGTGGCTATCTTTATCTGTAGACGTGAGAAGATAATGATGAATTACAATGTTTGCTCTCAAATATCTTCTAAGACATTTCATGTATTGTCATACCTTTAAACATTTCATTAAATCCTTGCTTATCGGATGTGATTAAATAATATTGTTGCTTGGCTTCTTGCTTTCAACAATGAGATGCGAAGAAAAAGGTAGGGAACAATTTTTAATCATATTTGATTTAAAAAAAAAAAGGTGTCACATTTTGTAATGCAGAAGTATTACAGATGAAGTATTTGTTCTTTCAAGCGTATCATTAAATGTCTTAGGCTTTAACCTACATGTAGAAGTGAAATAAAAATACAACGGTATTTAATTAGATATTCTTTAATGGAACCATCTACCCAGTGGCTTTTTTATTCGTATATGTTTGAGAATTATTTATGAACAAGATCCTTTATTTACGAATATTTTAACACAATTGTGCGAGGGGAATGTGCGAACACGATGTTGTGTGCATTGAATAACAACATACATTGTTAAGATTTTGGCACGGTGCTGATCTTGTAAGTTCAATATCACTGAGGATTTGGACAGTCTTTAAATCAAATCCAAAATAATAAATTTTTCAATGAATGTAACGAAATGACTTCAAGTTATTTCAGAGACAAGTGTTTTCTTATTTTAACGTGAAATGGCCCGTTGAGAGGAATTGGACCTTTGCCACTTGTTGTACTCGTATATACATCAAACTATATATCTAGACGAAGGATATAGAAATGTGTACATGTACAAAACAGAAGCTTAACATGCCCTATGTGGATTCTGTATAGATTACTTCAAACTGAGGTTCTGTTGAGAGGCCTTCAGACCCCTCAGTATACACCTGAACAAGCCTCTTAAGATGGCTCTTAAAGTCGGCAATGTTTGTTCACTCATTTAGATAAATCTCCGGAATAATAACTCGAGAGAAGAGAATTTGACGAAAATGATTAATTGTCCTTAAGTTTATACAGTAAAATCGATAATGTTGTTTGCTGTTGGACAGACAGACAATTGTAGATTAGAAACCAACACTTGTTCATTTTAATTGCTGATCACACCGGGTTATTTGGGCGGCTTTTCTTCTTTTGGTTCAACTATATTTATGTAAAAATAACAAGCAAAGTTTTGATACCCAAAAATTATTTTATTTTTCTTTAGGATAAATGTGGTAAAAAGAGAGAAATGGGAAAGAAGTTTGATATTATGTACATGGTAACTGCAAAGTGAACAATCAGTTACCTGTATACGATTTATGACAACCTATGTGTACAAATCTTCTGTAGAGTTATTTGCCTTCTTTTGAAGATAAGTGTAAAATCAGATGGAACATTAATCACCTCTAACCCTCTGTAAGATGTTTTCGGAACTTAATGTGTGAAGATTAGTGAAAATCCCACGATTACTTTTCAACATACGTAAACTAATAATGTATCTCGGCAACTTGAACACGTTTTCTAACCACGAGGGTTGACCATTCGAAAATATTATTTGTTTAGGAATGATTCATGGAGCCAATTTAATATGTTTTAGTACATAATGCTTGTCAGAATTTCACTCCACTTCACTCAAAAATTGTTAAATACTGTACTCTAAGGCAATAATTACAGGATTGTGCATGGTCAACATTTACCTCAAAACTCCTACCAGTATTAAAGTAAATTTTTCGTACAGGATTAATCTTATTTGCTGTAAAATATATTTTGCTATTTTTCACCCACAACCAACTCCCATGTGAAAATAATTTTTTTCTCTAAAGAAGATTGGTAACTTAAAATTTTTCACAGTTATTTCAATGGTGCCCGAGTTTCTGATGAACAAAACAAAAACCTGTAAGCTGCACGAATATTCAAAGATGTGAATGTTTCATTTAATCATGGTCATTCAGGCAATTATGGTGAAAAAAAAATCCATCGAATATTATTTTTTTTTATGTAGTTATTGATATACTTTCTTGCTAAATAAATTTTTTATTGTGCAAATAGCCACAGTAATTAGAGGAATGCTCTCAGCTAGGCAAAGGGATCAACCGTGAGTATTTCTGTGGAGATCACGTGACAAGTCTGTGCCAGTGTTCTGGAAATTAGTGCTGCTTTGGTGATGTGCTTTAATAGGAAATGCACACTCTAGAAGGTTGTGTATATTGCTTCTCATCCAACGCTTCATGAAAATTAGGCAAGGAAAACAGTTTTTGTCTCGTGGATTAGCATACGGCCTAGATAATGACTTTAAAAACTCAATGCAATTTTTTTTCTTTCAAAAATAACAGTTCAATGAAATAATCAGATAAGATATAAACTCTAATTTGAAAGTTCGTGACACGAATTACAAAGCATCACGCGATTCTTTAATTGAAAAACGTTGTTATTTTATGCTTTTAATTTGGTGTGAGGATTTGGTTTTAAAACGAATAATTGTAGAACACATTTCTGTGTCCTTAAAAATCTCTGGCAGTAAGAATAAAATATCTGACACACGGAAAAAGGCTCTTGCAGGCAATGCGGACAGTGAGTGTTTTTATGCCATAGTAAAATTCCTAATGAAAGTCAATTTGTGTGCAGAGGACACAGAGGAACGTTAAGTTTTTATCTCTGAAGATTTCTGTTGTGTGGTTTGTGGGAGTAGTTTTTTTTAATTTGCATTTGGTTTTTTTAACGGCAAAACCTTTTGATTGGATGGTTTTTGAATATCGACTATTACCAGTATTTCTGTTTAACATTCGTTTCTCTGGAATTTGTAACTAACCACTGATTGTTTCAATTCATACACGGTGTAAAAATAAAAAAAAATATATTATAGAGTAAAACATAAAATAGCATAGAGTAGAAATTAAAATATCACAGCATTTTCATCTTTACAGGAAAACTCCAAAGTTTCAGCGACTGAATGGATGGGATCTACCGTATGAAAATGAATCTCTTGGTAAGCGCATATACATGTACGTATTTCTTTGTCAATTCAGTAAATAAAATATTGTATTGGCTTAAATGTAATTTTTTTACTGGAATTTCAGATATCGTGGCTTGGACAAGTTTACAAACTGCCCTACACTCAAAGAAAGGTAAGTCTGGATCTTGTTTTTGGAGTTTGGCAAAGGAAACTGTTGTTATAACTAAAAATAAATATATATTACTGTATGTAATAGAGCCAATCGCAGACTTTGGTCAGATTATGTGAAAAAACGAAGCTACTAACCCATTTACAGGATGCATAAGGAGTCACAAGGATAATTATGTTTCATGTTAAAACATTTTCAATGGAAACACAGGTATAAACAAACAAAAATGGACAGATGGAATGGCCGTCGGTATCTTTGTTGTTATCTTAAAGGCAAACAAAAATTTATAATTTCATATTTTCAGACCGAAAGAAGTCAAAAATATCAACAGAAGACTTAACTTACAGACATGTACCAAACTACCGGTGTTCAGCTCTGGAAAACTCGACAGAGTTCGAAAGACATAGTCTTCACGCCAGACTCTTCATAAAAGAAAAGTCTTTGTCGGAGCAGACGATAGTTAAACCCATAAGGCGGTCAAAAACTACACTCACACTCACCAATGTACGCTCAACCAATACTTTTCAACAGAGAATTGGTGAAGTGCCAGAGGAAAACTTTCAAGAAACAAAAGCAAAAGATGACATTGATGTTCTTAGCCGAGTTATTGAAAAAGAGGTGGAAAGAAAAGATGAAAATATTATAAAACGAAGCAAAAGTGTTCCGGTCCCTTACATGCCAGAACGACCCGAGAATGCCCCATCTTTCCGTCGTTTGTTGTATTACGCGCGGAAATATGGATCAAACGATGACGGGGTCTTAGATGAGGAGGACGAGGGTTATGGATCGAAAACCCCGAGTGCTGAGGACAAAGACGTAACAAGCTTGTTTGATGGTTTTTCAGGGCGACGTTTTCTAGAAAAACCATTGGACAGTGACGGAAATGCGGAGAGGAAGTTTGCAAAATTCTCATATACGCATCAAATACCAAAGGCAACATCTCTTTTTGAAGAGTCAGAGGACGAGAAAGCTCGAAAGAATAGTGAACGTGACGTTAGGTTGTACAAAAATGGATACATAGAAGAGAGAGATAAATCCACGGTTAGGAAAATGTTAAATAGGTCTCATACTAGTATTGGTCATTATGAGAGTAGTACGTTTTGTGCTATTGAGGACTTAAAACCAGCCATTGTCCTCAGAAAAATTTCGATCCAAAACGCACAGGAAGATAAAGCATCTTCTAGTGAACAACCAAACAGTCAAACTGAAAAGAAATCTTTCTATGAGCCCCATAAAACTATAGTGAGACAAAATTCTTTTGCTCAGAATCAAAGTGATAGAGCACAGTACCCGGTGTATTGCACTAGCCCTGAGTTTAAATTTGCACATTTGCCACAGCAAAGGCCGTCATCGAAAAAACAGCAAAGAGAAAGTAATCCATCATCTAATGGCAAGAAAAGCAAAATTGAGTCTGCAAGAAAATTGAGGACGCCTAATTTAGACTTGTATAGGGCTCACACGAGTGTTTGCATGCCGATTGGAGACTTGTTACCGGCTGTTGATAGAAGTCTTCGCAAAGGAAACGCTTCTAAATCAAAACAAAATGCTCAAATTTCACAATCCATGCCGGACTCATTGGACACAATTTTATCTGTTCGCAAATCGTACGATGAAGTACAGCAAGCGGGTCTAGATTATATAATGAACAAGCAAAGCAAGGTAATTATTGGATTATAAAACTTTGTCTATTGTAATTATAAAAAAATGATTCCATTTATCAGAATATATCCAAAGATTACTGTAAATTTTCTATTACAAAGGGAATGGTAACACCCACTTTCCGAAATTCAAACTCGACGACAAGTTTAGATTCATCGACAACCATCAAATCAACGTCAGATAAAGGTGGAAAAGGTCAATACAATACACCACCCAGAATAAGCCTAGTAAGTCAACATGAAAAAGGGGTTTCAACTCAACGTGAGCAAGGGGCATTTGTGAGCACATCTTATCTAAAATCATATTTCTTCGCAAACTTTGCATTTATTCTATTTAAAAATTACATTGAATCAGACTTGACACAAAGCTTCCTTGGATGTAAAAGATGACCTAAATTGTGACATGTACTGTCTTTAATTTATAGTTAATAATTTTTAAATAGTGAATTTTTCCTTCTTCTAACGAACCGCTGGATTAGAAAGAAAATGTTATGAAAATATCATGGCAAATTTACACAAATCGTGGTCAGCAGGCAAGGACTAAGATGGAACTTGGAAGTTTGAAATTTAAGGTATTCAATCCCTAATGGGAACAAATTCAATAAAATTGAATACACAACAGATATGTAGGCATTGGTATATTTAGACACAATTCATATTTATTACTATAAGCATGTATAGTGGGATGTGTCCTAATTTATGACCTTGAATTTTAGTAAGAATTATCTCCCCCTTTTTTAATTAATAAAAAAAATCAATTTAAAAAATTTTAGCCGGTAAAAAAAATGTTTTCAATTGTCATCCTATTTTCAATGTTTCAATGCATCTTTCCACCACAGTATTTCCTGATATTCAAATTATTTGAATTTTTATTTAAAAAAACGCTTTTCCCCATAGACTTCAATGCAAACTTTGTTAATTAACTACTGCTTAATTAATGAAATTTTTGAAACTTTCTCGCGGGCAGTCCTTTTCCACTATAAAATGCTTTTATATATCAGAGTATTATGTACTTGACGGACATTTAAGGGTGAGAATTTGGTCCTATTAGGGATGGAAATCCTTAAAAACATTAATGGGAAAATCGTTTTCTTAAGATCCGAGCAGTCAAATTGATATACACGTACAACTATTTCCACAGTGAGAGTTAATGGCCCCTGGACTCAAGAAAGTAAAAATATATAAAAACAGGTTCAGTCAAAATTTCATATCTAACTAGAGGTACCGTGAGCAATGAGCTCACTAAATGATACCCCCGCCTCCCATATGAATATAATGGCAGTGTCCATGTTTTGCTCTGGAATATTCAAAATATATGTCAGATTAAAAAGTAAAATAGGCGTTGCACAATGGCAATATGTAATAAAGATTTTGTGAAAGTTTCACCAAATTTCCTTCAGTGGTATGAGAGGAGTTGCGGATAAGCGTAACAGACGGACGGACATACCGATTACTATATACCCTCCTCCTTTTCAAGCGGGGGATATAATAAGCTTTTGATAATCAAACAAAATGTACATACATGTAAAATGTTTGAAAAATGTATATTGAAAAAAAAACAACCGTCATTTTAAAAAAAATGTAGACTTCGATTTTCACAATATTCAATATTTATCTTAATCATATAAGGGGATTTCATGAGTTGGTTTATTATCATGAGTTCAATTTATTTACATATTATTTAGAAAGATAAACATACTTTAGTGAGCATTATTGCCATATGATACGCCACTTGATCTCGTTAAGATTGAGAAAATACTGTCAATATATATAACAAGTGAAAATATTCAAGTTTTTCCAGATTTTTTTTACTTGGTTATAATATTTGTAATTTTCCTGAAGGATGACTTTGCATCAGTTTCCTCCCTTTCCACATCCAGAGAGGAGGCCAAGCCAAAACAAAACACGACAAACGCTACCAACACCAAGACGAGAGAAGGGTAAGTGACGGCTAATGAGTAAATCAAGTAATTAATTAATAATTATCTGTAACTTTTTATCATCCCATCACTTAATTGTCACAAGAGCAAATACATGTAATATGGTAGAGCATCTATATTTTTAAAAGGTGCAAAATTGGTCACAGAAACCTTTAAACATTTAGCTTATTTTAAACAACTATCTAAAAAGTTTGTTTTATTAAAAGCTTGTAGATGAGATTAACATTTAACCATAATAAGAGTACATGTACTTCACATTGTGGTTGCACAAACAACTGTTTTTCTTATTTTTAACCAACCCAGGGTACCCTCTTTGGCACTAAGCATGTCGGGTATTGATATTGAAATAAAACATGGAATCCTTGATAAAAACGTCAATGCCATTGGGAAGTATGTCACTAGTCAGCTAGCTTTGTCTGCTTTGGTGGTAGTTTTCTGTGTTTGTGTCGTTCTACATGTAGACATGTTGTTAGCATTACAAAAGTATTATCTGCTACATGAAAATGATAGACCCAAGTCACATTTCATCCACATCGTTTATAAGGTAAAAAGTTGGTTTCATGTTTCAAACAAACATTTCAGTTCAAGAATTACATCTGTAGATTTCTTTAAACAAGAAGATGCCCGAAAAAATATTATAGCATCATTTGTTTTTATTCGTTGAAATTCTGAATTTTATAGATTTACAGATATGTATTGGTAAAAGAATCTTTTTGTAATCGGTCAGTGTTCATTTTCTTCACCTTTTATAACTCATCTGAGTAAAAAAGTGAACTTATATGAAAATATCACATTTGTCCTTCGTCTGTTTGTTTGCTATCTGTAAAATTTCTTACATTTTCGACTTCTTTTCCAGAACCACTGGGCAAAGTTCAAGTAGACTTGTCAGAAAGTAGTTTTTTATGAAGGATTCAAACGAAGAGCCGGGTTCTCTTTCAAACGGAGACATTTTAAGAATAAGTGAAAATTGGATCGTTTCTTATAAATTTTCTTCTCAGGAAGCACTTGGTCAGAAAAAACAAAACTTTTAAGTAGTGCAGATTTAAATTTGTTTAAATCAGAACCTGGTTTGTTTGATGGGGGCCACGATGGAAAATCTTTCTTTTTTTCCATTGGAATACATATGAAAAGGTTGTCAATAATATCCTTCTCTAAATCATGATGAGTGGTATTGATTAGGAAGTATCTTTTATTAGAATTATAGATTCATATTTGTTTAAATAATGACTTCTAGGTGTTGGGTCGAGTCAAAGTGGGAGATGAAAGTTTTACTAAAGTAAAAAATCGAACAAAAAAAAGTTCTCAGGAACAGCCAAGCTTTGTTTAGTCATATTTATGCAAAGATATCCTCAGATAGTGTTCAATTAATTGCCCCCAGGGGCTTATTGGGGATACAATGTGGTATCAAAGTTTTTCATATAATTTATGTGGAAAAATCTTTAAGAATACTTTTTTAAGAACAGCAGAGTCATGTTGTGTTGTATTAATATGAAAACATCCTCAGGAAGTGAAGATTTAAGTTTAAATTAAGGCCCCTGGGGATAGAGGTGAATCAGAATTGAACATACGAATATATTTGATTATGCGTTGTCCTAAGGTCAAATTTAAAACTTTTTGAAAAGAAAACTCAAATATGATTTTTTTTTTCAATGCTGCTCACTTGAAGGGAGAAAAAGTGATTTAATTTCCGAAAACTTTTCTTCATTAAGTTTTCTTTATGTAGAATGTGGGTAGAGGTTTATGAAGTACTTTTAGCTTACTCTCTTTGCTTCTATGTCAGAGAAAATTCTCTTATCTATACTGAATTGCTAAGTTTATACTTGAATTGTATTTTTACCTAGATCCATTATCCTATAGATGTAGAAGCGCTTTGCAGGGTAATATCTATACTCACTAGCGGCGCATTCAGCATTTATCGATATTTAATCTTAGGTATCATGAATGACCATTTTTCTTGCAGTCATATATCACCAGGTCGCCGTAGAATTGGTATTTGGCATAAAGATTACCGACGCTCATTGGAACAAAGAGGCATCAATTTTTTTTCTCCAAAACTTTTGTTGAAAATCCCGTCTCGACATATGAGTTCAAAATTAACATCTGTTCACTTACTTGTTTACTAACATGAATGTTCTCGGTTTTAATCTAACAATTCCCCCTATACTACATACTCCCTTTGATTTATATTTGTGTGTTTTGCAACAAAGGAGAGAAGTTTAAAATTCATTGATTTTAAGTTTTTGATGACCATTTTATTTATTTTTTTTTGTCGATGAATCGCTCCTCATATTTAAAGTATTTATAATTACATGTAAGATAAAGAATCAGTTGCCATGAAATATAACACCCGACCAAATATATATTGAAACTATATTCGAACAAAATCAGGATTTGTTTACTTGGGCAGACATAGAAAGACTAAGGAGTGACTTATTTTAAATTACCGTATAAGTGGAAATTTGAGCGAGACGCAAATTTAGCGATTTGTCCTTCAAAATTGGCATTTTATTTTTAGCAAGATGTGATTTTAGCGATTTTAAATAGCACACATAAGAAGCTAAAACAAATAAAGCGCATTTAATTTTTAGCGATATTCAATATTAGCGATCTTGGCACCCTCGCTAATAATGCCAAAATTAAATCCTCGCTAAAAATTCTACTTATACGGTAAGTATATTTTAGTAAATGCAGTTGCCGTTTTTCACATAAATTATTTGTAATTTCTAAGGGTGGAATGTAAAATGATTGTTATCATGTTTCCATTAGTAAGCTGCTAAACTTTTCTTTCTAATCATTTTTGTTTAGTGAATGATATTCTCATAAAACAATGCTTTATACTGCTGAATACAGGACATTATTAGAATTCGACGTTTACAACATATTCTATATATTTCAGGGTTCGCTTTACCGCCCATCCCGACAAAGACACGAAAAAGAAACTTCGTGACGCCTTCTCCAGATTTTACAATAAACAGCCCTACGGGGCTAGTCCTTCAAACAAAAACTGGACGGAGGAGTTGAAATTCATGTGGAACAAATAACTTCATCAACGTTATAAATGTCTTTCATTTTTGAATCTCGATTTAATGTACATAATTATATTAATAATTTATTATTAGTTTGTATGGGTCAGAGGTTCAGATATGCTTTTTTGATCAAACTGGATTATTGCTTCACAACATATTAGCTCACTTGAGTAGAAAACTCAAGAGAGCTTTTTTGATCACAATTTGCTCGGCGTTCGTATTTCAGTCCGTCTGTCTACAAACGGTTCACATTTTAAATTCTTCTAAAGAACTGCTTGGCCATTTTCAATCAAACTTACCAAAAAGGATTCAAGTTTCTTCAAATGAAGATCTGCATCTGTTTCATGGGGAGGTAATTAGGAATTAGTTAAAAGCTAAAGACTTCTTTAGAAAATATTTACCTTTAATAAAACAGTTACGTCTGTTCAAATCAATTTAATTTCAATCTTAGAAACCATTCCTGAATATGTTACCAATTTATTCTTCATTTAATAATGAACAATTTTAATACTTGATATCAATCGATTATTAAAGAATTACAAATCATCCAATTGTACCAATAACCGATCATGAAATAAAACCCATTACCCATAATTAACCAGCCATAAATGGCGACCAACGTGATATATTAGTGTTCAGAGGAAAAATCTTTTTTTAAAAATTCTCAAAAACAGTCACGTCAATATAGAAGTGTCCTTGGGTAGTGTAGAATCACGTTTGTTTCATATCATTTCCTCTCAACTCCAGTTTTCTATTTAAACTTTTCAGTACTGAACTTATTTCTGATTTTTCCCTTTCCAAAGTACGTGTACTAGTATTTAAGGCCACGAAAGATAAAACCTGATAAAATTGAATCAGATTATTAATTCATTTGAGAATATTGCTAGAAATGACAATTGTTTGTGATCGATAATTTTCCTATCGTTAATAGACTAGAGACATTTTTTACTATTCTGACCGTCGTCAGACTCATTCAAAGTATATAAAAAAATATCAGTATTCAGTCTCATATAGTATCTATCAGGTATTTTCTGCCCTTTATAAACATAAAATTTGATTATTTTTTTCGATTTGCAATTTTGTGAACAAACTAGAATCTACACTACCTGAGGATGGTTCCCTATAAATATCACTAAGCATGGCTTTGAAGTACTTGAAAAGAATTTTTTTCGATTTGCAATTTTCTAAGAAGTTTAATTTGATCAAACCATGGTCCATTTTTGTACGATGACAATATTGGTGCTACTGTAGGATATCCACATTTTGCTTTGAACGCCATGTTTTAGAAATACAATGTAGATTAGCACATAGACCTCTGATCCATTTTACTTTATTATTTTTGTACATAATAAATTATTTATTTATATATTTATATAAAGTGTTGAGTTTATTTTGCAGAACTGAAATCTAAAAAGAGTTATAAAAGTACTAGCTTTATGAACTTTAAAGTAATTACTATTGTTATGGGTCAGAATAACCCTAAATGCCAGCAAAGATCAATCACACAGTTTAAACTTAACAATAATTTATTTACAGTAATATATAATACGTATATGAAACATAAAGTACAAACTTAGCAAGAATCTAAAAATACATACATCAGAGTGTCCGTTGCTGCACACAATGTCCCAGTGAAAATATATCCCAGTTATATCTCAATAGTGCTTATACTACAAAGTATATCTATGCATCGAATTGACAGGGTATTTATACAGTATTATAAATCTAGAATATTCTAGAAATTGTAAATACATGATATTCCTGGAAAGTTCTAGACATAAACAAAGTTCAAGAATGTTCTAGAAAAAATGACCAAACATATTGACCACTCTGGAATGCTCAAGAAACTTAATGTTACTAATAATATACAAGATGAAACAATACACATCTCACAACACCTCCCCCCTTAAAAAGTTTGAATGTCAATGAAAACTTATATTATTAAAACATAGGTACATTAATACAAAATCTAGTATGTTTACGATACTCTTGACAAGGCATCTGCTATAACATTGTCTTTGCCTTTGATATGTTTAATTGTTATGTTGTATTCTTGTAACAACAAACTCCATCTAGTCAGTCTTTGATTCTTGTTTGACAATTTATGCAAAAATGTCAGGGGGTTGTGATCCGTATATACAAAAATTGGATGCAAAGTAACATTCAGATAAACATCAAAATGCTGTAAGGCTAACAACAAAGCAAGGCATTCCTTTTCAATGGAATACTTTTGTTGACATTTTGTAAGTTTCTTTGAAAAATAAGAAACAACTCTATCTACCTTATCACTATGTTCTTGAAACAAAGCTGCCCCGATTCCAACATCACTAGCGTCAACAGTAAGCTTAAATTGCTTAGAAAAATCTGGAGTTGACAGAACTGGGTTGCTCATAAGGACAGATTTGATTTTATGAAAGGATTTTTCACAGTCTTTTGTCCATTCAAAGTTAACCCTCTTCTGCAAAAGATTTGTAAGCGGACTAACTACTGAGGAAAAATTTGGACAAAATTTTCTGTAAAACCCAGCCATGCCCAAAAACCTCATCAACTCTTTCTTGTTTGTAGGAATCGGGAACTTTGCAATAGCTTCCACTTTAGCCATAATTGGTGTAACATAACCTTGACCTACTTTATGACCTAAATACTCTACATAAGCATGACAAAATTCGCTCTTCTCAAGGTTCACAGTTTAGTTTGCTTTAGCTAAAATGTCAAATAAAGCACGCATGATTCGGATATGTTCGTCCCATGTGTTGCTGTATATGATGACATCATCAATGTAGGCCTCGCAACCCTCGAGGTTTTGAAGAAGGGAGTGAATCATCCTTTGGAATGTAGCCGGTGCGTTTTTCATGCCAAAAGGCATTACTTTATACTGGTAAAGTCCATCTGGTGTAGCAAAAGCAGATATTTCTTTTGCTCTTTCTGTTAACGGTACTTGCCAGTAGCCTTTCAACAGGTCAAATTTACTGACAAATTTCGCGTTTCTAATGTTGTCAATACAGTCATCGATTCTAGGTATTGGATATGAATCGGTTTTGGTAACAGAATTCACCTTTCTAAAGTCTGTACATAATCGGTACGAACCGTCCTGTTTTGGTACAAGAATACACGGTGAGCTCCAATCACTTTTACTAGGTTCAACAATGTCATTGTCCAACATGTACTGCACTTCCCTTCTTAGGTACTGCAATTTTATTGGATTGAGACGGTACGGATGTTGTTTGATAGGCAGAGCGTCGCCAACTATAACATCATGACAAGCTGCATTAGCTTTCTTTGGAACATCCGAGAAGATTTGATGGTACTCATTCATCAAGTTTTTAACTTGTTCTTTTTGGTGAATGTTCAAATGTCCAAGTTTGGCATCAAAATCAGCCAAAATTTCTGAGTTTTTCAAGCGGACACTCTGATTACAATCTTTCTCATTCATCTCTACACTCGTATCACTCTCAATACAATTTTGAACAGTCTTAGCGTTGGCTAAAGTGGAAACTGGTTTTACAGAATTTCGGTCACACCTTTCAAAATACTCTTTTAACATGTTAATGTGACAAACCCGTTTCTCTTTACGTCGACCTGGTGTCTTAACCACATAGTTTACATCACTGATCTTGCTTTCAATTTCATAAGGGCCATAAAATTTGGCCTGTAAAGGATGACCAGGAATAGGTAAAAATACAAGAACCTTATCACCTGGCTTAAACACCCTATTTCTGGCATCTTTGTCATACCACATTTTCATTTTCATCTGAGAACTCTTCAAATTTTCTTGTGCTAATTTACAAGCATTGTAAAGTTTTTCTTTGAAATCAGACACATAATCTAAAAGATTAAGATCACTAGTCTCAGTCAGCCACTTTTCCTTCAACAATTTCAAAGGACCTCTAACTGTATGACCGAACACCAATTCAAAAGGACTGAACCCAAGAGACTCCTGGACTGCTTCTCGTGCAGCAAATAGTACAAGATGAACCCCTTCATCCCAGTCTTTCTCATACTGGTAACAATAGGTCTTCAGCATTGTTTTTAGGGTTTGATGAAAACGTTCTAGCGCTCCCTGGGACTCAGGATGATAAGCAGTTGATCTATACTGCCTAATACCCAACTCATGCATGACTTGCTGGAACAACCCCGACATAAAATTTGAGCCTTGATCCGACTGAATTGCCTTGGGTGCTCCTACAAAACTGAAAAACTTGGTTAGGGCCTTAACTATGCTCTTTGCCTTTATATTCCTAAGAGGTATGGCTTCAGGAAACCGAGTGGATGTACACATAATGGTAAGCAAATACTGGTTTCCAGATCTTGTCCTAGGCAAAGGTCCTACACAATCCACCAACACTCGACTAAACGGTTCTTCAAAAGCTGGAATGGGTTGGAGAGGAGCAGATGGTATCTTCTGATTTGGTTTACCTACCATCTGACAGACATGGCATGACTTGCAAAACTTCGAAACATCCTTTCTTAGCTTAGGCCAATAAAAATGACTCAAAATCCTGTTATAAGTCTTATTGATACCTAAATGACCAGCCATAGGTGTATCGTGAGCTAAACTCATGACATCTCGACGATAAGCAGCTGGGACCACTATCTGGTGAACAACACGCCACACTTCATCTGGAGAAGCGTCAGGTGGTCGCCATTTTCGCATAAGGATGCCATCTTTCATATAGAAGCATTCTCCAACTTTAGTAGCCTCTTCTGGTGGAAGTGCCCTCTTACTAAGTTGAATGATATCTGGGTCTTTATGTTGTTCAGAGAGTAAACGTTCTCGGCTGAGGATGTCCTTGCCTTGGCTAACTAGTGGATGCAACTCATCATCCTCACCACCAAATTTTGGTAACAGTTCTTTCTTCTCTTGCTTCTTGATATTGTGTGGTTCCATGCTTGTTTGAGTGCCATCAAGGTCAGATAAGAAAGTGTCATTCAAATCAATATCAACAGAAGAATTCGTCTCGTCAAAGGCTTGAGTATGGTCTGCCTCCATTTCTCGTCTTCTGGCCA